AAAAAAAAAAAAAAAGAAATATTTTAGTATTTTAATAGCCAGTAAGCCTGTACTGCTAATCAAGGATTCTGTTACTAGAAGCTATGATTATATTCCTTCCTCCCTACCATCCTTCACCAGAAATCTCTGTCTCACCCTACTGTCTTTCCCCAAAAATGGTTACCACTTTTCCTACTAGAGAAGGCATTATTCTGTCTACTTACCTCAGCTTCTGACGATGAAGAGATAACCATTCTAACCGAATTGGTCTAGGAAGGTTACTGTCCTGACCAGCAATTCCTTGTACTTTGAGGAATTCCTTCCTTGATTTGTTTTACTTCGTATGACCACAGTCTTTTTTTTTTTTTACTAAACTCTCAGTTTCGCTTGACATTTGTCCTGTTTAATAACCATCCATGTTTTTTCAATGCCTAGAAATAACCACGCACACACCCACCCTCACCAAGAAAAAAAACCACACACACAACCTTAGAATGGCATTCAGGCCTCAATCTCATTTCCAATTTCTTTTCAATTACAATTCCTTTTATATACCCTTCTTCCCATCCATAGACACGTGTTTTCTCCCCCAGATATACCTGTTCATCACTGTCTCCATCTCTGGATTCCCTCCATGTCATCTTTATTAAAATCCTATCATGCCGGACACCTGGGTGGCTCAGCCGGTTAAGGGTCTGCCTTTGGCTCAGGTCACGATCCCAAGATCCTGGGATTGAGCTCCGCATCGGGCTCCCTGCTCGGCGGGGGGCCTGCTTCTCCCCCTCCCTCTGCCACTCCCCTTGCTTGTGCTTTCTTGCTCTCTCTCCTCTATCTCTCAAATAAATAAAATCTTAAAAAAATAAATAAAATAAAATGAAATACAATAAAATCGTATCATGCTTGCTGATTATTCATGCAGGGTCATATCCTTTCCTTTTTTGGAAACTAGAGAGGGGGTATGTGACCCAAATTGAGCAACCAGCCTTTTTTCAGGGTTGAGGTAGGCACCTGCAGAGAGACTCTGACCATCAGCTCCAAGGCTGCCTGAACCCGGAGCTTTTGTGGCCATGGAAAGACTATCTGAGAACAAACCTGACATGGGAGCAGGGCCAAGAGATCAAGGGATGGGAGAATGTGCCCTGATAGGCATCAGCTGAGCCCTGGGCTCACTTCTTGGACTTCTCTGCTGGTGGGGACAACAAATTACCTTTTTTTTTTTTTTAATTTTTTTTTTAAGATTTTATTATTTATTTGAGAGAGAGAGGGATAGAGCACAAGCAGGGGGAGGGGCAGAGGGAGAGGGAGAAGCAGGCTCCCGCTGAGCAGGGAGCCCGATGCGGGGCTCGATCCCAGGACCCCGGGATCATGACCTTAGCCGAAAGCGGATGCTTAACTGACTCAGCCACCCAGGCGCCCCAACAAATTACCTTTTTTTGCTTAATTTGTCACTTACGAGAGTGAGGCGGCATATCTTCCAAGGCGCGGGTCATACACCAACTCCTCTGTGCTCTTCTTCAGCTCACAATCACCTGTCTCGCCCGCCTCTTCTCTCCCCTGGCTCTTTATTTGTGCTGTTTGACACTGCCCTGGGGTGTGCAGTTTGTGTGCACGATTCATCCTGCTAGAAGGTTAGGGCCCTCAGGAGGACAGAACCCTGGATGTTCAAGACCAGGCTGTGTGGCATTAATTAGGGGGAGTGGGTGGTGAGGCACTGAGTACGGGTTGCTCTTTTGTGAGATGAGGCAGGGAGAGAGAGGAAAAGCTGGTAGGATGGGGGAGGCTCTGGAGGCCTCAAGAAAGCTCAGGAAAGCTCAAGAAGAAAAACATTCAGCCCTGGGTATGAGCATTCATGTTTATAAATGAAAGGAGCCAGGGAAGAGGGAGGAGGAGGGTATGAAAGCAAGAGGGCTAATGGACAGAAAGCAGGCACAGGATCAGCAGAAGGGCTGGGATGAAGAATGAGAGGGAAGGGTATTTATTCAGAAACACAAGCGGGAGAAAACAGAATGTATTAAGATAATGGTGACATTTTAACATGGAGAGGAGTTGAAGGAGTACATGCTTTGTGATTTTAATCTCAGCAAAGCAGCAAAT